CCCCAAAACCCCAAAACCCCTCTATTCAGTATTCATCATTATGCTGATGAATATATATTTTTCTATCTAAATATTTAATATTATGGCCATGAAAATGTAATTAAAACTATTAAAAAAATCGCTAAAATAATACTTTGTTTGTGCAAGATGTTTATTTTATTAAAATCAGTTAAGAGTAATTGAATCATTATGTCTTGTTTATTTGATCATTAGTTGTCTCCATTCACCAATCTATTAATGGTGAATGTAAGAGAACATGCGCTACCAAAAATACCAAAAGCAATTAACATCAGACATCCAATCTTTTGATAAATATTCATCCTATCTTTGAAAACTTTCATATATAGTAACTGAGGAATAATGAATGATGAAAAAGTTGCCCCAACAGACCCTGAAATATTCAGAAAATCTGTGAAGTTAGGCACAATAAAGCATATTCCAGTTACTGTTACAATGATTAGAGATCTAGTTAGGCATCTCTTTATTTGTGGTTGCATTCTTATATTTTCATAAGCATCAAGTCTCTCTATAATTTAAAACGCAGTAAGTATCTGAAGTGGGTATGAAGTCATTGAATTGAAGCAAAACCCTAAAATTACTAGTAGTATAATTTTGTCTAAAGGTTGAATACTCATCATGAAAATTGGTTAAGTTCCATTCCTATAGCCGAGATACGCGAGTAACCCGTAAATATTGAAGAGTACTAGCAGGCACAGCACTACATTTCTCAGAATTTTCGGATACTTCTGATAATTTTTAGCCTCACTCTGAATGTTAATTATGGAAGGATTTCCGGTGAAAATGTACATTACAGTGCCTATTCTTCCAAGCATTGCGTATAAGTTAAACCAGTTTATCTCATCGCTAGTCTCATCATTGTAAGTTGAGGCAATTTTCTGCAAAGAGTAAATATAGAGGGTTATCAGCCCTGAAATAGTAATAAATAGAGCTGGTATTGAGAGGTAAGCTAGCTCTCTGTATGAACCTAAAAAACTGAAGATAATAACTGGAATCGTAATAAGCAACATATAAAGCTTATCTCCATAGCAATGCACCTGATCTGAGTAGGTACACAGAATGAAGTCTAAAGATTTTGCAGAAAAGAATTGGTGAGCGATACAACAAGCTAGCTGAGTAGTACAAACAGTCACATCTACCAAGAACTTTCCCCTTTTTCCAAACACTCTAAATCCTAGTTCAGAGTACGATTTAACTCCAGGAAATTACTTTGCAACTGATAAGCATTGGTTCATTGTTAAGAAGTTGATGATTGTAACGAATGAGAGCATTATTACCCCACCGATAACTCCTGCAAGTTTGAAAGTATTTGGTATAGAGAGGTAAGATAGTCCAAAAAATAGCTTCATCGATACAGTGAAGCATTAGAAATCTGAGGCTTTCTTTAATGATATTCCAGAATTAGATGTTTAAGTTTGATTTACTTATTGTTAGTTTTCAGTTTCAATCTCAATGCAAAGAGATTCTCTTGCTTATATCTCAAATGAATTGACTTGTTTCATGATATTTTTATTGTTTGAGTAATGTTTAAGAGTAGTAAATAAATTAATTTTAATCGAAAATTATTTATTATCCAAAACTTCCAAATGACGCAATAAATTATTTAGATTTTGCTTGTTTAATTCCTCGAATACATTCTAAATCTTTAAAATTTATTTTTTCGTAATATATTATAATCCTGCTAATGGGGTTTTGGGGTTTTGGGGTTTTGGGG